AGGCGGCGACGCAGACTTGAGCGGTGTACGGGTTGACGATGATGCGCAGATAAATCGTAAAGAATGTCGTAAGAGATGACGGTCTCGGGACGGAACAGATCGAGGGCGTGTTGGCAGGACGACAGGTTAGGGCCGCCACGAGGGACGACCTCGCATCCTTTGGGATCATCGGCGTCCTCACCCGCAGGCACATGACCCCCTGTGTCCTGGTTGAGGGGCGTCCACGAGATGATGGTAGTCCAGTCGGCGGCGGTGGTGGTGTTGGCTGCGCGGTCACAAGGTTGCTGCGCAGCACAAGGCGGCTGGTCCAAAAGGAGAGGTGGGAGCTCTGAGGCTCTGGGCGATGGCTCAGGCGATGGCTCAGGCGATGGCTCAGGCGATGGCTCAGGCGAGGGCTCAGGCGATGGCTCAGGCGAGGGCTCAGGCGAGGGCTCAGGCGAGGGCTCAGGCGAGGGCTCAGGCGAGGGCTCAGGCGAGGGCTCAGGCGAGGGCTCAGGCGAGGGCTCAGGCGAGGGCTCAGGCGAGGGCTCTGGCGAGCCAGCGCGCGAGTCGGGTTTCGAACTGGAGGCCAGTCGACTGCCGTCGGGCTCTTGAGCGGCTGCGCCACTGGCAGAGGGCAAAACTGGTCGAGTCGCATTTGTCTGGTATTTGTCGGACAAACGCTGCACTGGTTGAAGGCAAGCGAGATGAGGAGCGCGACTTGGCTCATCAGCAAGGCACTGCGAAGCTGGACGGGACGGGCGGTGAGGCGGTGCGAATGTGGGTCCATTCGGGTCGACCGCGGCCGCCAAGGCTGCGAGCAGCCAAGGCAGCGCCATATGCGGCGGAACTTTTACTCTCTTGTGTATGAAGCGGTGCCTGTGCCTGCTGCTCGCGTGCGTGCCCAGCATCGCGCTGCGCATCCGAGTGCGGGCCGGCCCGCTGCCGCCGCATCTGCATGCACTCCGTGCGCAGCCATCGACCTGCACGCGTGGCAGCCTCAAGGCAAGTGGATCAGGGTCCGGCGGAGGTGGAGGAAGCGGGGGAGTTGGTGGCAGCAGGTCGGCTAGCGGCTGGCGCCGCGGACGCGGACGGCGCGGTGCCGGCCGCGGCGGGTCGGACCGACGCTCGGCGCTCCGCACCGTGTGTGCCGCTGTCCGTGCGGGCGCCTGGGCGGATGTGAATGCAACTCTCGATGGCTCCGGCGGCTTCCGTTGGGGTCCCGGAGAGTGGCGGGCGATGGTGCAGGCGGCGTCGCAGGTGGCGGACTGGCGCGGCGCACGACGTCTGCTCGATGCGATGGGCCGGTGCGGCATGCCGGCAGACGGTCCTGCATACGGCCACGCCCTGGTCGCTTGCGCGCGGGCGTCGGAGCTCGAGGCGCCGATGGCGTTGCTCGAGGAGCTGCGGGAGGCAGGAGTGCCGCCGGAGCTGCGGCCGTTGAACCAGCTCATCGCTGCGTGCGGCCGGCGCGGGAAGTGGAAGCTGGCCTCGTACCTGCTGGCGAAGATGCCAGAGCTCGGCA